GCGTGGAGAGAGGGGTAGGGGACGAACCGGGCCGAAACGTGCCACCGAGGCTCAGCTCAATCGTGCGGGGCAGGTACGAGTCCCAAGATCGGGCCTGGAAGGTTGAGGAGAAAAATCGTGTCTTTGAGGGGCAACTCGGGGCGCAGCTTTTTGTTGTGGGACACCGCATTTGACTGAATTGTGCTCTGGCGGGGGCCGTCGGGGTGGGCGGGGGCGGGGGGGATCGCGCTCCTTGCCGGGCTCTGGGCTGGGCTAGTGATGGAGGTCGGGGGCGCCTTTGAGCAGAGAGTAGGGAAAGCGCTTGCTGGTCATTTATGTGGGATCCCCAAGCGAGCACAACACAGACGTGAGATGAGGTTCAAGGGGCCGACGCCCAGCCCCGGGTCCCAGTTGGCCTTAGATGGGCTCGTTCGTGAGTGGAGGCTGGGACGGGGGGGGAACAGGGTCAGGGTGGTGTGGAATGGTGGGATGGGGCGGGGTTGGGTCGTTCTAAGGCCTGCTTGGGGGAGGACTGGGCGGGCCCAGAGCGCAGTCTGGGGTCTCCAGCGGCCCGGAAACCTGCCGCCAGGGACGTGATACATCTGCAGAGGAAGTTAAGGACAATCCTCAGGGACCCCGGGAGACGGGAAGCGAAAAATCGGGAACTCGGACGGCGCGGTTGTGTGCAAAGCTTCATGCTTGATGAGGGTTGCATTCGGGACAAGCAGAGAGGTTCCGTGGACCTGCGACTTCCCTGCCTCCGAGGATGGGCGTGGGGTCTGGAGCGCTAGGGGTGTGTTGCGCGGATTTTTACTGCTCCCGGACCCCCAACGGGACGAGGGTCCAAGATGTGTCCTCTCTTTAAGTCGGAGCGTTATGAATATCGACTGGGTGGTTATCATCGGCGGTCTATTGATGGACGAGGGATTGTACAGAGAATGGAATTGTTGCAGCAAATATCTTTAATGATAAAATGACTCTTTACTAATAGGAGCTGCTTGCACAACGTGTTCTTTTGTATTCTATTTGAAAGGCTGTCCAACTTTTTCTGTTTAAAAGCACAGATGTGGTGTTTTGTGCTTCCTGTATTAGGGAATGGGAAGAAGAAACTGCGGGTGCTGTTCCCAAGATATCCCAAATTCGCTCCAGGGAATTCCCGGGCGTGGTGGGGAATGTCCGGCTGTGGCCTGGCCGGCAGGTGCGTGTACATCTAACCAAAGAGGTTCAGCTCTGTTCTAGGACGTGCTCGTTTAGGATTATGTTTTTTAAAATTGCAATGAGTTTAGATTAAATGGTGTATCTGGAGACTTGAGTGCTGAAGTGGGTGCGCCGAATGACAGTTTCTTTCATCAGCGGTCGTCGGTATGCAAACACTTGTAATTTCCGACCTAATGGGTAAGTTAAGGCCTCGGCTGACTATTTTATATCTCTGTTTCTTTCCTTTTGACTCATACTCCTCTTAACTTTTCAGTATAATGTTAATGACATCTCATTTTAGACATACTTTTCATTTTATAGAGATTTTAATGAATCTCTTAAAAGCTTTGCTTTTTCTAAGGAGAGAGCTTTTCAAAGCAGGTCTTTAATATGAATCTGAGACTTTTAACGAGTTAGCCTTCCCACCGAGCTACCCCCTAGGTTGAGGAATCTCCCCAATTTGCACCTTTCTCTTCCTGGATCTCTTTGCCACCCTTCTCCAACCACATTCTAAATTACAAACATAGTTTCTAATAATCACATGCACAGATAAAAGAAAAAAAGGAGAGGGAAAACTTGAAAATAAGTACATCAGGCCATCTCACTCTTGTAAGTTTTCGAATGTTTCAGAAAGTGTTTTTCCTTCTTAATCTAACCAGAATTGTTAGGGCTGGTGAAAGTTAATTTGCCAGTTGTCTTCTGCCTTTTACAAATAATAAAATCCTTTAAAAATATGTGTTAATACTATTCAACTTGTCAAATCCACTTTAGGAATTGTTATCTATTATATACTATAAATGACATGTACTTGGACACAGCCAATCCATCATTTTGTTCGAAGGGCACTTCTTCCAAAGGAACTAAAACAGTTGTAGCATGTAAAATAACTTCCTTCAAATCTACTTTTCCTCCTTGGAATATATGAACTCTACCTGAAACCTGTGTTGATAAATGGGCAACCAATCTTTTCAGATTTTATAGGATTAATTAATGAGAATTATGTGAGTTCTTCCTAAGAAGCCTTTTTTTTTTTTGCTCTTGATAACATTTGACATGTTCATTTGTAAAAAATAAAAAAGAGTACAGTAATTTCTATTGACTTTAACATTCATGAAAAAAAGATTAAGGCAAATAAAGGAAGTAAATGAAATTTAATTTATTTTAAAACTGCAAACTAGCTAAGCACGGTGGTTCATGCCTGTAATCCAATACTTTGGGAGGCAGAGGTGAGAGGATTGCCTGAGTCCAGGGGTTCGAGACCAGCCTGGGCAACTTGGTGGGACCTGTCTCTATAATAAATCAAAAAATAAGTTGGGCGTCTCTACAGTAAATCAAAAAATAAACTGGGTGTGGTAGTGCCTGCCAGTGGTCCAGCTACTTGGAAGGCTGAGGCGGAAGCATCCAGGGCAACAGAGTGAGACTCCAACTCAAATAAATAAATAAAATTAAATAACAAGTCAGCGTTCCAGTATGTGTATATTTATATAGATACATTCTCAGCTACCTTTTTTTTTTTTCTTGAGTTGGAGTCTCACTCTGTTGCCCAGACTGGAGCGCAGCGACACCCTCCCGGCCACCGCAGCCTCAATCTGCTGGGCTCAGGAGATCCTTCCACCTCAGCCTTCCAAGTAGCTGAACTACAGGCGCGTGCTACCACACCCCGCTAATTTTTGATTTATTGTAAAGACAGGTCTCTCCAAGTTGTCCGGCTGGATCTCGAACCCGTGGGCTCAGGCAGTCCACTCTCGTTGGCCTCCCAAAGTGCTGGGATTACAGGCTGAGCCACCAAGCCCAGCCTCAGCTACCTTTTTAAAAGGAGATTTTTGGTGTTCATATTGAGAAGTAGCTAGATTCCAAAGCAGTAAATGTAAATCCAGGCACATTCTTTGGTCCTGTTGTAATCCCATGACAGTTCTATTCCATATGCGGTATCTATGGTGACCTGTGGTTAATCATTCTTTCCACTGAAAGTGTGATTACTAGAATTCTCACATTACAAGGAGTTTAGGTAGAAGGAAATTTATTAGATGCATCTAAGTACAGATGTTCTTAGATACAGATAGGTAAATCTTGCAGTTTACCTTTGAGGTGGTAAAAATTCGAAAGGCAAGATTTCCGTTTTGCAGAGGACAGAAGTCCACAGGACAGATGAAGAGTTTAACATTCTGTAATTGTTGTGCTCAGTCAAAATTCCCATCATATTTCAGATACTCCCTACATTTTCATTCTTTTGCTTTTGTCTATTGAAAGTGGGGTGTAATTTTAGAAAGCCTACTTTTGTATTCACTATAAAATTGAACAACAGCTTAAAAATAAAACAATTACAGATAAGCCCTTTAATTTTCACTTGCTTTGGTGTTAAAATTTTCTATAAGGATTTAATGATTTGTCTGTCAAGTTTTCTGTCACACAGTAAAATTTGCATAGTACTACAAAACGCAGCAATGTAATTACTTTTTTCCAGGCTGCAGTGGGCTATACTTGATATTATTATTTTTAAAAATTTAAAGCTTGTTGCATTTTAATTTAAAGTGCTTGGACTCTCCTATACAGAAATTATTTTAAATCATCATCATTAATATAATAGTGCCTTTACATTTTTTACTTTATTTTATTTTCAATAATACAATTTCCACAGAAATGTAGTATCAAATTACTTTATAGTTTCAAAAAGCATAACATGACTGAAATCTACATATGAATATTCCCTTCAAAAAATGTTAATGAGTTCATGGTACATTCTTTCCAATGATGTCCTATACAACAGTGAAAATGAATGAGCCACTGGTATAACCTTCACATGGTTAAATTTTACAAATTTTGGGCAAAAAAAGGAAATCACATACAATTAACATATGACTAGTTTTTAATTTTTTTGAGTTGGAGTCTTTGTTGCCCAGGCTGGAGTGCAATGGCACACTCACGACCCCCGCAGCATCAACCTGCTGGGTTCAGGTGATCCTTTTGCTTCAGCCTTTCAAGTAGCTGAAACTACAGGCATGCGCTACCACGCCCGGCTAATTTTTTGATTTATTGTAGAGACAGATCTCACCAAGTTGCCCAGGCTGGTCTCGAACCCCTGGTCTCAGACAATTCTCTCACCTCAGTGCTGGTATTACAGGCTTGAGCCACTGCATCCAGCCTGACTGTATATATTTGAAAGGCAAAAATGGGCAAAATAAAACTGTCTTCTTTAGGGATATATGCTCATGGGATAAAGTTAAACATTAGCAGGGAAATAAATGATTAATGCAAAAATCATCCAGTAGTGGTTACTTGAGGACTGGAAAGAAATGCAGTTAGGAAGGACATTAATATATGGAAACTTGGAAAATGCTAGTATTGTTCTATTTATTTCTAACTAACTCATTAATTAGTTAGTTATTTAAAAAAATTATTTTTGAGATAGTGTCTTGCTATTTCACCCAGGCAGGAGTGCAGTGGTATAATCACAGCTCACTACAGTATCCAGTCCTTAGGCTCCAGCTATCCTCCTGCCTTAGCCTCCTGAATAGCTGAGACTACAGTTGCATGCCACCACACCTGACTAATTTTGTGTTTTTCTTTTGTAGCGATGAGGTTTCCCTATGTTGCCCAGGCTGATCTCAAACTCCTGACCTCAAACAGTCCTCCTCCTTTGGCCTCCCAAAGTACTGGG